AGGGGAAATTTCCCCCTTTGACACTGCCACTGATACTGACATGGGAAAAAGAGGGTAAAGAGAGCTTGAATGGAAGCTAAAATTATCTAAAATATTACTGACTGATAGAGCCAATTAATAAACCAATTTTTGGCGTCTTGTATAACTCTTTGTATCTCTTTCTGTATCTCTTTCTTTATCTCAATAAAAAAAAGATTAATCAGCCAGCACAGCATATACCAAAGCACACGCAATGACAAAATAAGGATATTAAAAATAAATACTGCTATCTTAGTCAATAGCACACGCGATGGCCCTGGTAATTTCAACTCCTCTGCCTTAGTAGTAGTAGTAGTAGTAGTAGTAGTAGTAGTAGTAGCACCGACTTCAGCACCAGTGGCAGCATCAGTGATATTCAACTTGAATGAACCATTGGCAACAGTTCCTTCGGTTATGACAAGTCTTCCAGCGGCAATTTCTCGTTGTATAGCCTGTGTAAGTTGATCGTTGGTAGGTGTAAACTCGTATTTGGCAGATATATAATTGATGATGGCTTCACGAGAACAACTGTTATGGGTCTTCTCGGCTGAGATAGCAGATGATATCATCTCAATGTATGGAGGGTGCGAAGGCTTTTCCGGCTCTGCTGCCTCAGGTACTCGTACATCCTTCATAATCACTAGCTGTTGGTAACACGTTCTCTCTCTTCCAACGATGACTGACGACTAAATGCGGAAATGATTGCCAGCTCTTTTATACGCAACCGTCTACTATGGAGCGGCAAAAGGGCTTTCAACGACAGTCGATTATTGTGATTGGATTGTTCGAGAAGATTCGAAATGAAAGTTCGATGTTTTATATTATTTTCATGATCTTTTTATTTATATGTAGGCCTATGTTTCTATTATACTCCATAAGAATTAATTATCAAAATGTAGGCCTCAAAAAATGAGAATCCACTATGGAGCGCCAAAAGGGCTCAAACATAGTCAATTGTGATCGGATTATTCGAGAAGATTCGAAATGACAGTTATGTTTTATACAGTATTATTTTTATGCTGATATTTTTATTTATATTTAGGCCTGTGTTTTTTTAATACTTCATGAGAATTAGTTATTAAAATGCAAGACTCAAAAAGGCTATTTTTTAAAGTGGAATTTTAATTTAGGCCTATAAGGCTAGCCTAGGCCCCACTAGCCTACAGTCTCAGTAGGCAAGGGCCTAGGCCCAGGTCCTGGCCTATGCCAGCCTAGACTGTATGTAAGTAACAGGTCAGTAAACATTAGGCCTAGAAACCCCTCCGCACATTTCGGAAATTAAGGCCCAAGGGCCAATTTCCTTTCAGATTTTGCCGAAAGTTAGGGTTTGACCTAAATCTTAATTCTACTAATATGCTGAGAGAGTTAGCCTACAACTTACAAGTACAATTCTTATAGCGATTCATATAGCGATTTTTCGCGCCAATTTGAGTTAGCTAGTTTTTGAGGTATCATCAATTAAAAATACAATTAAAATGCTCAGTACATACAGTATGGATTGCTATGTATCATCAATTAATAATACAATTAAAATACTAAGTACAGTATGGCTTAATTAGCAGTGGCGTATTTAGAATTCTTGAAATGGGGGAGGGTGCTGGGGGCCTCGATGATCAGTTGAGATGTGCTAATTTGTGCAAAATAAGGTGATTTTTGGTGATTTTTAACTTCTTGACTGTGATTTTTGGGAGGGTTGCCAAAGTGCTAGCCAGCGAGGCATGCAATTAATTCATGCGAGCCATGACAGAAATTCATGCATGATGTGTACCAACAGTGCGATTCATGCAAGGCACGCAAAAGTCCACGCTATACACACTTGTACAATTTATAAAACAATTACATAATGAATGAACTATTTTTAACTATTTTGATGTTTAAAAAGATATATATCCAGACGTGACATCAAATAGGCCTATAATGAATGACAGGCTATGTACCGGTAATATTCATTTTCACTGCACACATGCCCATTCGCCCCATGCATGGAGGGAGGACTACTTATTTTTCACAAAATAAACTTAACTAGCAAAGACAATTAAAAAACATGAAACCAAACACAATTGAAAGAGTAAATGTTATAATTTAAAATGCAAAAAAGACTAATAAATTAATTTATAGGCTAGCATCCTAAGGCAAACACCCCTCGAATATATACTCCCCCTTCCCAAGCTAAAAAGATCATTGTGAATAAACGCCTCGCGCTGTTTGATTTTTCTTGGAATTGTCTTAAGTAACTATGAGAGATGAAATGGTGGCAACATCATTTTTAACATTGAATTAATTATCAATGTTTTACCCTAGTGGAATTAAATTAACTGCTAGGGATTTATAAGCCATGCAAAAACACTTTTTTAACATTAATCATAGTACACTACATTTACCAGTATACGCTGGCTCCTCAAAAACCATCTGAATAATAACACACCGGGGTGCTTGTTGGAATAAATGCGATATATTGTAATTATTGTATTATATGTAAATTTTCCTTAATTATCTGACTGTAATGCCAAATATTATTTTAAAAAAACAAACGTATGATTAGGAATCAAATTATAACAAATCAATGCATTCAGGGTGTGGTGAAATGATGGGAGAGGATGATGGACCTATGTGTGGCACATTTTTAGGGAGCCTGTGCAGATAATAGTTCACAAGTTTTGGTTATGGTAATAATCCTCAAAAGTATAGAATAACCCCATACTATTGTAATATTCTATTCATTTATTATTTATTTATTAATCTATCAATTAAATAAGTGTAAGAATAACATCAATTATTATCGAACATGATTAAACATGCAGGGTGGGTATGATATGGTACAATACTGCAACAGCTATAGTACTTTGTCCTGCCTCGCATGATTTGCAGTTGTTGTGGTCACAAGGGTAGATGGCTCGCATGCCTTGCTGACTCGCAGTTTGTCAATACCTGATTTTTTTTGGGGGGTCGACTGGGGGTGCGATTATTTTTTTGAAGGGCGTGCGCCCCTCCCCTAGACAGGCCACTGCTAACAATATTACTGTACCTTATAAGAACGTTATGACGTTACAGTTTGGTGATAAGAACGAATCATATGTACGTACAGTACTTACAACCTAATTTCACACATCACAACGTTATTTTGTGACATAACCTAACTAAAACGTTCGCAAACGTTATAAGAAAGTTTTGTGTCTGCTGGGATTTACTTCCTTTTTCTGTCCGTAGGATAGCCCTCTCAATGAAAAACACTGTTCTTCCAAGAATCCCTATACAATACATTAAAATCTACAGAAAATAAAGTACAGTAATTAAATCTCAATTTAACCTGTTGAATTTGGATTAAGATATTAATAACTTGATTTTCAAGCCTAATCTGATGTGTTTGCTTTTGATAGGTCTTCACCAATTACTAATACCTTTAAGCAGTTTTATTATTTAGTCAATTGGGTTATTAAAGGCAGATAAATGACAGATCTACAGGCGATAAAGTTGTAGCTAATAGAGCACTAAAATAAGGGGGTCTATCCAGCTATTTTTGTGATAGGTTGGGCAGGGAGGAAGGTGCATGTTATTTGAATGCCTACCTGGAGAAGTTTTTTTTTTTTTATTTAGGTAACCAGAAAAAGTATGAAATGATTATAGTACGATGTGGATGATATGATGATGAATGGTGAAGTTTATAATGATGTTGATAAAGAGTGATAGACAATTAGTTGCCAATTTGCTGGCTTGAGATTCCATACCAAACTCAGCCTCACTCTGGTTGGGCTAAGGCGCAAATTTTTTAATTTAGAGCACCCACCTACTCTGGAAATAGCACTCAGGGGCCGATGTAAGGGGTGGGGGGCATGCCTGCCCCAGTTTTTCCTCCTTTCTAAAAGCAAAAAAATGGGAAAAAGAAAGGAAAATAAAAAATGGATCGCCCAAAATGCCTCAGAGGTTATTTTTGGGCGTCTAGGAAACGAACGTTTTGGACCTCCTAGGGTAGTGTTACCTCAATCTGGCCGCCCCTCTCCCCCCCCCCAATTTTTCCGGACATTGCTGGGTCCATCCCAGGCACTCTCAGACTTTGAAAAGTGTCTCAATTTGTAAATTAAAAACCCACCACTTGTGTATAGGCCGACATCTGCTGCAATAATGAAATAACTGAAACTAATTGTTGCTCGTGTAATCTAGATTCAAGCAGACTTTCACACATGAAACTGCGATTTTTCTTTTTGTGGGGGGTGGGGGACCTGAAAGCATGCCAGATACGTACACTGTTGTAACTAACACAGATTAAAAGTGAAGTTAGTCCAAGCTGGAATTACAGTAATAGGCTGCAAAGGGCCCCCGGTCAGGTACCGGCAAAAATCAGCAGTAAAGTTGTTACATCAGATGAAAAAGAAAGGACAGTTTTGCTGACAAGCAATATTTGTTGGAAACTTATATTGGTCAGGCTTTCATGCATGCATAGATGACGATCTGTTTCACTGATTCTATTTGTCCACCAATGTATCTGTTGTCTTTCTCCTGCCTATTTAGGTGATTTTCTCGACCAGCGTATACGGATTCATTCCACTCAAATTGCTTCATCTGTGCATTTTACTGTTCCACGTCATTCTAAGAGAATCGGAAGTTTTTCTATCTTGTCATGCTTCCTCCAGACTCTGGAATAGTCTCTCAACTGAACTTAAGCAGGACACTCACTGCGTCGTACGACGAATCCACATTTGCTTCCGACAAGCGATATACGACGCAACGCCGTCTGCTGATTGTCAGTGGCAATCTGAACGGATCGTCATTAAAAAGACGATCTGTGGGTCCGCGTCTTTGCGTGCGTTCTTTGTCGCACACAGTGAGTAACCGGCTTTAGGGACATTTCTGATCCCAATATTTTCAAACATGTACTCAAGACTCGCTTATTTGCAGAGTACGAACTTCCAATTATTGTTTTCTCAATTTATTGTGTCTGTAGTACATGTTGTGTTTTGCTTTTATTATGAAACTTGGATATTTCGTAAAATTCACAAAGAATGATATCTTCCTTTATTTTCTTTTATTTTATTTTATTCACAATAACAATTTACAAAAGTAAACTTGATGAAATAATTCCATAAACCTCAGACTTAAATGGTATAATGTGTCGTTCCCTATGAGAAATTTTCGGTTCACTTTTTAATTGAATAGAATTCTTAACAAGTAGTATGTACTGTTTTAACTAATATATTTAAACAAACAAAATGTCGCTTTGCATAAACTTTCCTTATCAATAACATTTTTTTTGTTCTGTACATTAATTTGTAGTTCTTGAAACAATAGCACACATTACTCTTTATTATTTATATAACAGCTTCTTTATTTTAAAACAAGCTTGAAACTATAAGTAGTTTTTCTGATATTCTGTTTTGTTACTTCTGTATAGATTCTAAAAAATAGTGTAATCAGAGAGAAATCTTTAAAACTAAAATATAACTCTTGATGATAACGAAAGAATCGGTAGCATTTTCAAATTATAATAATTACTTACAGAACATAGACATAAAAGAATGGAATGAAAATAAAAAATATAAGTATTCTGTAATTATAGTTTTTTTTTTATAGGAATTAAATTTTTTTTAAACTAGAGCTACTTTGTACACAAAATTTCAGAATGTAAGCTATATACAAAATATAAACGATGACCTATTGTGTATTTTAAGGCGTAATTCCCAATTGCGAGGCCAAGACTCCTTAAATAGTTGGTAATGTAGACAATTAATTACGATTTATATCCGGCATATATTTTAAGGGTTAAAGAAATTTTCTTTAAAGTTGTATAAGCACTATTGAAAATACATATATATATATATAGGGCAAGATCATTTTTTATTTTTTATTTTAGTTACACTTCCGAATAATCTTAATAACTTAAAATCATTATTACATCAAATGTTCACTGATATAATTTTATCATTATATCTCATAAAAACAAAGATTTTTAGAATGATCACGGTATTGGTAAACATTGATTGATTGATTGATTGCTATGAAATAAGGAGAAATTCAAATAAACTCCAAAAGAATGCGCTCCCAGCAAAAAAGTTTGTACCGTAGTTCCTCTGTATAATCCCGTCCCCTACTTTACACCCAGTTTTATGTGCCAGCCTTTTCATTGGCAAGAGCAATGCAGATAAAGTGTCTTTTATCTCAAGGACACAAGCGAAATGCACAGTGAAGGATTGAAATCCCGACCTCGAGGTTGGGAAACCAAACTGTTCCCACTGCGACAAACCCCTTCAACAAACAATCTAACAATGGCGATGAATGGCTCTGAATTGCCTTGAAATAAATATTTCACCATTTTAGATTTGAATTTTTTAAAGTAAATTTTATTGAATTATTTGAAAATTTTAATATTTTAAATGCCAAACTTTTAAATTATGCTTGTTTCACTACAGATTTTTTTTTTTTTAAGTTTTAACTTTGAATGTTATATATAAACACAATTTCATATTGTAAGCAATTGTTTTTTTGTTGTTTTTTTTTGTGAAAGGCCCCATGGTCATACTTGTTTGTGCTTGTTTCTTGCTGTTTCTTTTTTGTATATTTTAAAATTTTTGAGACAAATGAATAAAATAAGGTGCAGCGATGGAAAATTGCCTTTTTCCATCTCTGTATTTCATTTCATTGTCTCCAGGTATAAGCCCACAACAAAATTAATATTGGCCCAATTTTGTGTTCAAGTTGGGGTGAGGGGACTGGCTTATACTAGAGGAACTACAGTATTTATTGAACAGTACAATAGAAAATAATTTAATTTATCATTTGTAATCAGTTTATACATCATTTTGTATTTTTGGTATTTTGCATTTTTCTGAAATTCCTGAATAAGACAATATTGTAAGTTGTTTTTCTTTGTATGTTGTTTTACACTGAATAAACCAAACCAAATTTAAGTTATTCTAAAAAATATAAAGAAATATTATTAAACTGAAGAAACAATCTTAATATAAACATATAATTATCTGCTCATGCAAGCATTCCAAATAAAAAGGTTTTTTTTTTTGTAAAGTGATATATGAACACTTTGATTGTCATGCCATTTTTCAAATGTATGTATGTTAGTTTTCAATGATCATTTATTTTAATAACTTTTTAGTAAAATTCTTGATTATCATATACACATGTTTTGCAAATTTCAAAATATTAATTAATTCAAGAGTTTCCAAGGCTTTTTTTTCAAATATTTAAAAACTAGCACACTGGTTTAGCACAGCATCATAGACAATTAATTTAATTATATAATCACAGTTTTTAAAAATAATATCCAGTGATTACTTTTTCAAACGGCTAATATCGCCACTTTTTCTTATAAAAGGCTTTGTATGCATAGATAGGTAGTGTGTGATATAAAAAACTCATGAATATTCATTAGGAATTCGGGTCGAGGAGGCTGTAACTGGTTCAAACCAGATTAACTTACAGTACTTCTGATGGAATCAAAGTTATTGGATGATCTCCTATACTCCAAACGATGGAATGTATTTTAACAATATCTTATGAATATTCATGAGTTCCTAGTCTTCTTAATCACAAATTAATAGTTCACATTTTGTTCTCAATTAACGTTTCAACATTTTAACAAACATTTCAACAAACATTTTAAACTTCTTATCCAGTGTACTATTTGATTCGCCTTGACTAGATGCTATGCCAATACCATTTTAGTGTCAGAAAATCATTTTAAGCAATATTTTATTAGGGTTGTTGCTGTTTTAATTATTATAATCAGACTTTTCTAGATTGTAATTGATTTATAATATTACCACAACAAACTTTTCTTCTTTTAACAACGTTGTTTTTTTTTATTCTGAACAAATTTCTTTAAGTTACCCGTTTGCAGCATATATGCAAGAATCTATGCTTCTTCAATTCATCACATGGCAGTATAGGAAAGGAAGACCAGCATCCCTAAGTTCAAAGGTCATATATCAAAAGTACATCTTGTTTTTCAACTTCTCCGTAACCAAATATCATGGGATACATTAGCAGCTGTTCCCAGGATAGCTTGCCAAATTCTGCAGCCATTGTCTTCTTTCAACTTCTTTAATTAAAATTTTCCAAGGATGCCACAACATCAATGTTCATCATATGGATCTTTTTATATGGATTTTAAATCCATTTATACATCACTCTGGAGGATTTCACGATATTTACTGGTGGATTGTCCATCAAAACAGGCAAAATCAGCAAAGTTTATATCCTCTGGATAGAAGCCCGACTCATGTTTACTATGATTTTTGCAACGACTGTCCGTATCAACAACGTTGTTATATTCCGGCGGAATATCATCTTCGATGGCATCGGAGCCAGATCGGAACCCGCTGGATGATTCCGACGTCACAGATTCCTCGCTCTTAGAATTTTTATGCCGCTCCATGCTCAGCGAATCTTGTTTCCCAGGGCCATAGTGAATGGGATTGAGTTTGCTCAGTGTTTTGCGATCGATTGATCCGATTGAACGGCGCGATTCTCCTCCAATCTGGACACAATGTCCAAGCTCTGTAGGTTTTTTGACAGACTCACGGCCATTGAAACTGTTACCTCGTAGTTCAATATGCTCAGCTTCTCCATCCGCTGTCTGTGACTTTCCAGCCTCTTCCATCAGCCTATTTACTAAGTTGTCTTCCTGTACTAAGGGATCATTTTCCAACAATTCATCCTCCGGAAATACATCTGACAATGGCCGCCGGACATCGTCAATGTCAAAGTTTATACTTATATCCATGTATTCCTGTAATTTGTATAAACAAATATATGATGATGATGATGCATATATTATGAAAACTATTTCATGAACTCCATAAAAACAGGTCTCTCTCTAATTAAAGACCACCTCCAATTTAAGACCAATTTTCTGTGGTACCAAAATTAACAAAATGTCTTTTATCTTTATTATTGTAATTAGAAACCGAAATTGCCCGATCCCAAAAATTGTCTTTAATTGGAGGGAGACCTGTACAGTACTTAATGATTAACAACACCACTACAAATGCCATCACTACTGTACCATTAAAATAATCATACTTTCAAATTCACAGGGGTGAGAGTCTGTCTCTTTGGCACCTCCCCCCCCCCCAATTCACCAATTGCATCAAGGAGAGGTAGTTGCAAGCCACTTAGTTTAAAATGTTTAGTTGTGGACTAAATTAACCAGAGCAGAAAAGATACAGTAGTTCATCACTAATTTTTATGTGAATGTTTTAACCCCTTCCAGTCTGCCCCATTACCATTGCCTGAGACTGTACCAAAGCTGGGAAATTACATCGTCTACACTAAATGTCGGGTTTTTACTGGGCACAGGCATTTCATTTGGTCTTTTTACAGGAGGCCCTCTACAGAAATACCCCTACATAACTCTCAAAAAATCCTATAGAGGGCAGCCTAGCTATAAAATAATTATAATGAAATCTATACAGGGTGTACGTACGACGCCCCTCGCTATAAAGTATGGTCAAAGAGGGCGTTGTCGCAACGCCGTACGACTGGAAAGGGTTAACTACCATTATGTGAATGTTGTGATCATTAGATTATTCATAGTCTTATAAATAATTCATAAGCATAAGTAGTTCCCCATATTCACCTGTCTAATATTAGCTTGCAGTTGGTCACCTAGCTTGCAAACCAATTCACTGAAGATAGGTCTTTCCTTGGGTTCCGAGTTCCAAGAATCCAACATAATGTGATAACTGCAGAAGAGAAAGACATGTTGAAACCTCTGTGTATACATACAATGTGTTGCTCAGAGATTTTTAGAAATAATGAATAATAATAATAATAATCAAATATACAATATAATGGGGAAATAAAAACATTACAATCTTATCAAAGATCTTATAATTATAAAGTAGCATTCTCTACAATTCCGTAATAACGCAGTGTACGGCGCTCTTGCAAAAGTGATTAATTTTCAGCTTTGAATTCAGAGATTGTTAACTAAAGATAGCACATCTGCATGCAAATTCTATAACAGCCATGGTAACAACTAGGACACCCTCTCTTAAAAGTGATTACTTTTTATGTTTCTTTTTATTAAACACTGACGCTTCCATTTGTTAAACGTAGAATTGTGGATAGCGCTATCTTGTGGTTTATGGTACATGATCTCTCTTTTTATGAACCAAAATATATTTTTAACGGAGAAAGAGACAGCAGTGGCATTTCTAGGAAACTGGGAGCTAATGTGGGGCAGGTGGAGTGTAGGAGCTCAGGGGGGGGGGGGGGGGGTGACTGGGACCTGTGTTTCTTTATGGGGAATTGTTTAAGGGGAACGTGACCTTTCCCCTCTCACCCCTACGCCACTGTGCATAACATAGGATTAATACCAGTGAAACATCTTCAACATTAAAAACTATGACTGACTTACATTGCTTCAGGGGCATATTCAGGCTGGCACATCCTGTAGCCGTTCTTCAAGCGATTATAAAATTCCTCGTCGACTTGTACACCAGGGTATGGGGAGCCACCGAGAGAGAACACCTCCCACATGAAAATCGCAAAAGACCAAACATCACTGTACGTGGTATATACCTTGTCAAAGATAGATTCTGGCGCCATCCACTTAAGTGGAAGACGACTCTGTGAAACAAAGACAAGTGTAAATAAAAAATTAATCGAAAATGATTAATATAAAATTCATAATTACTACCATTAAAACATTACAATAATCAATAGCTATCAATAGAAAAGTAAGATAATCAATAGCTATCAATAGAAAGGTAAGATAATCAATAGCTATCAATAGAAAAAAAATGATAAATAGCGATCAATAAAAAAGCAAAATAGTCAATAGCTATCAATAGAAAAGTAAGATAATCAATAGCTACCAATTGATAAGATAATCAATAGCTATCAATAAAAAATTAAGATAGTCAATAGTAATATAACAAAAATTAAGATGGTACTTCTCAATAGAAAATTAATATGATCAATAGCTATCAACAGAAAAGTAAAATAATCAGTAGAGAATAGTCAAGCTATCAATAGAATATTCAGATGATAAGAACATTATAAAGAAAATTGTATACTCACGCTTCCTTTTGTTACATAATTCGGGTCAAAATAGATATCTCGGGAAAGTCCAAAGTCACAAATCTTGACAATATTATTCTCAGTCAAAAGGACATTCCTTGCAGCTAAATCACGATGAATACACTGAAAACAATTACGGTAATAATTAAAAATAGGACAACAAATGTACGATTACGATAAGCAGCTTAGCTCAGTCGGAGCCACTATGTGTGCACTGAAGCATGGAGATCTCTTGGTCCCCGGTACAATTCCCATCGCTGCTCTTCCTGTATTTTAGCTAGAGCGCTGAAATACAAATTAACAATAGCGCACCGTCTTTCGCTGTTGTTCTTGCGTGCATTATGGCCCATGTGCACGTTAATCTTTCGGAAAAGAGTAGGGGATTATCTCCTGATGTACTGCCCAATCACCACCAGAAGGACCCTACTGGAAATAAGTCTTCTTCAGACCTTCATAGGGGATTACCTTGGTGTTTACACCGGATAAAAAATCCAATCCAAAAGCAGTTATATAGATGAAAGCATAAATTTTGTCACTTTTTTGAGAATGTGAATAAAGCATTGTAATGGTATGCTATGGAACAAACCATGTACAGTAATGTAATGCTATAGATAACAATGACTTGATAAAATGAAATGTAGACAAACTTGAGTGTCTCTAAGAAGCTAATTATTTATCTGAATTCATAGACAGTATCTATCATGAATGCATAGCCATGCACGTCATGTTCTGCAAGCCCCGAATAATCTATAGAGGGCAATATACTGCTTAGTAGTTATAACTAGTAAATACAATCAGGTACATTCATGTACTATTCAAATAGTAGTATTCAAATAGTTATAATAGTTACACTTCTTTGTATTATTTTTGTGATGTTTTTGATGAGATGCAATTAAATGCATAAAGAAATACAAAAATCATAGAGAATGTATACCTTTCTAGATGCCAAAAATTCCATGCCTTTTGCCACCTGGAAACAGTAACAAATGAGATCTTCCAAAGTGACTGGCGTTTCCTTCTCGCAGTAGTCACTAAAGACATCATCGTCCTCGTCGGCTGAGTCTAAGAAACCATCCTCGTTGGTGCTGGTCCGAGCACTGCTGCTACGTTTACTCATTGATGGGATTCTCATGTAGGGCGGTTTGTCATCCATCACGTAACACTTGCGTTTCGATCGAAGGTAGTCTGATAAGTTTCCATAGCAACAGAACTCAACAATAATGAACAATTCTGGGGAAACAATTCGGTGTGTATATTTTAGGTGTGCTAACTTTATGCCAGGCAATTAAATACATTATTTGTTTTATTTTTTTATCGTATATAATTTTTTATTTTAAATAAATAATTTATGGTCTCATTTTGAGAACTGTATGCTGATATCAGCATGAATCATGGAATAAAAATATCCACAACATTATAAAATATCAAAATGACATCAAATTCAAAAAGCAATGGTAAGAAATTAAAGTAGTGCAATGTGAACCATTAAATAACTTCTTATGACAAAAATAAGTTGGACAGAAAGGAAAGTGGAAATTAATCTAGATTTGTTTAAAAATTACTAGAGCTTATATAGTATACCGCCTTTAGCAAAACAACAAGAATTATACTGTTATCATATGTGTAAATCAAAACTCTTTTAAGTCTAGACAAATTGCTTGTCTGGGAGTTTGTAGTCTGTCTAGTAAAGACTGAATCACTGGTTTCAACAAATTCACTAGGTTTTTTTTTGTTCACAATTAGCATATTGGATGTGTAACACAGTTATAAAATTGTGCTATTAGTTTTGTCTGATAAGGCCATTAAACATACATCAAAAGACTGATAACTATCAAATAATACTGGTCGAATACTTAAATTGAAAAGACAAATATTGTATATCTGTGACGTGAAGGAATGGGAAAATCTTAATAAGTTAATTAAGATGAATTTGGGTATCATGTTTGAAAATTAATTCAAAACTGATTTTGTTTGTATGACTACTAAATATAGACAGGGGCAAACTATCTTAGTTAATTGATCAGAAAATATACCAAAAAATGGTAAATGACCTTAGTATGTGGAGGTGGACACATCCCATCCACCAGAGTAGTAAAATATTCCCTAAGTGAGTCACATTATAAAAAAAATGACATTCATGAAATATAGGGATTTAGTTCCCAGCCCGAAACCAGCCTACACCACTGATTTCTAAAACTTTGTCCACACTTCCACAATGTTATATGCCCATATGTGGGTATAATATGATATCATCATGCCTATACATGTGGCAAAGACAAGCCAAACCAGTCACTCGTCGCAAGTCGGGTTTCAGAAATAATGGCCAAAACATGCTGAAATATCAAAATCTTTGAAATCTATTTCATTGCATTAAACAAACCTTTAAATACCTATACATCATGATAATTATGCTGTTATTTTCACCATTTTCAATGTTAAAACAATAATTTTTAACAATTGGTGATGGTTTATTCCAGAGAAATGCCTGAAATCATAAACTTAAAAGGCGGATTTCTTAAATATTTTTCTTTTAACGACTTTATGTTTAAACGCTTGTAACTTCAAAAGGAAATGTCGGATTCAAACGATAATTTCACCATTTTATAGCTCTCATTTTCATCTTTAACCCTGTATTAATAACAAAAAAAAATTTGATTTTTGTGATGAGTGACTGGTTTGGCTTGTCTTTGCCACTATATTGACACATTACACAATTTGTCACATAAAATTGGACAGTGTGGACATAGCGAAGAAAGTGACAATAAAAGTTACCATTTCTTGTGCAAGCTCCAAGCAAGTTGACAATATTAAGATGGGGTCCAATGTGTATCAACATCTTAAGTTCCGTCATCAGGGCCTTCTTTTCCGTCTCGCATGCATCCTCTGGGAACAAATTAAGTACAATTAAAATCAATCAATCAGTCAATGGATTTATAAGGCGCATAATACAGCTGTCTATATGCACCAATACAAATTTTAAAAAAATGACCGATGAAGTGAATCAAGCAAGTGAAGTGGGTGCGAGACTAAGTGCCATCAGTGTAGAGTCAGTTTGTGCCATTCTTCCAAAAAATAAAATATAAATCAAAAATTTAAAAAAAAAATGAATTAAAAAAAATGTTTTAATAGATTATATCAAGATATAGTTAACATAGAAGCTAGCTATACAACAAACAAACAATATAACTTATTAGCACACCTCGGGTACTGTATAAGCCAATTTTACATACAGTGCCAGCCTTTCCTTGAGAAAAAGTCCAGGGTATAATTTGAATGAGTAACTTTTACAAGTACACTAAAAAAAACCTAAACTATTAGCTTAGTTAGGTATGCAGTGCTGAAAAGTTGCCTTTTGACAAAAAACCACACCCCCAATGAGGATGGGCTTATACTAGAGGAACTACAGTGTATTGTTATTTTAATAATTTTATAAATATGTATTTTTATTTTTATAATTAATATGTGTATTTTGTATAATTATATACTGTAAGTATTGATTTACCAACTGGCACTTTACTAATGTATTATTTTTTTCTTGTTAATTTGCTCTAATTAATTATACAAAAAGTCCAACCACTTAGTGTTAAGTTTAATGCTTGCAACTTGCGTTAATGTTTGTTTTTTTTAACAATTATAATAATAATGGTAGACTTTTATAGTGCATATTGTAGCCCTCTATGCACTTCACATTATCATTCACCCTGGTCATTGGATTAAATGCCTGGGCGAGTATTCCATGTTTCAGCAGCTATCATCAGCGCATTTTGGTATTTAACCCTACCAGGTACCCACTTATACTCCTGGGTGGAGAGAAGCAATGCAGATAAAGTGCCAATTGCCCAAGGACACACATGAAATGCACAGTAAAGGATTGAAACTCCCGACTTCCAGGTCGGGAAACCAAACTGTTCCTGCACCAAACCACTCTCATGGTTATTATTGATAAAATATAAATCAATAGAAAAATGGTGGCTGGTAGGATTGTATGCAACTCATTCTATTTGTAGCTGGCCTGGGGATACTTGGAAGAAAAGTCACTAAAATGTATCGTATAACCGCACTTACAGTAATCAGGGTTTTCTGTGGCCCCCTTTCCTTCTGCCAACAATATTTATTTAGCAGTTTTTGGCAGTAAATGCATGTCCTAACGACCTATCAAGAACCTTGAAACAATTCAATTGATTTATACACTTTAACTGGCAAATAAACACATGTCAGAAAGCAGCAAAATTATGCTTAAGGTCAGAGGGAAATATAGTACAGTAGTTGATAATGATTGATATAAGTATAGTACCATATACCTCAGTGGTTATTAAGTTTGGACAAATCAGATCTATAGAGGGGGTGCTTGCATTTTGCAAAGTAGCCAAGGAAATTAACTACCTTTTAACATTTTCACTGCTACACTTGTGAGGGTTGTGTCCTTCTCAATGCCAAAAGCGTCCGCTTTGTAGACTCTGCCAAATGCGCCACGGCCAATAATGCAGTCTAGGAGAAACAAAGGAGTTGTTGAATCAATGTTGGCTTACTTATTAAAGTCTTTCTATTAACTTGTAAAACTCTTCCCTGAAATCACAGTACATTCAAACAGTTATTATAAGTGTTTGTTTATAAACAATTTTCAAGTTAGTAAAATTAAGTTACTTGTGTTTAGTGTATTTTTCTGAAAACTATGATTTATTTTTGGCAACTTACTAAGCTTCAACCGTTCCCGTGGAAACTCCCATTTTTGGTCATATGGAAGATGTTCACAGATAGCTTCTAAGTCAGTAAACGGGTCCAGATGAATTGGGAGAAGGAGGTCATGTGAGTGGAATGGCAGCTTACCATGTAGCTGTAAGAATAAAAATAATATAACAACATTATTATAAAAATAGATAAAATTGTTGTAACACCACATTGGTAAAAAAACAGATAAAAATTGTTACAAAGTATATGTACAGAAGAAAATAAACATGCAAGCAGATTAAACAAGATAAAAACTATATTATTTGAAAACAACACTTTACGATCAGTGGCACTCACAACCATTACGGTGCATTCAAAAGGTTAAAAAGCTTTAAATATTAAATGGTAATATGAAGTACTAATGAAATATCATGAATTATGACTAGAACAAAGCCAAAAATACTGTGATGAAATTTGAAGAAAAAAAATATTTGAAACTGAATGAAATAATAAATAAATTTTTAAAAATATGTAAATCTGATTGGTGATCTAATAGAAAAAATGTGCAAATGTTGAAGACAATTGATAAGCAACTACAGTTTCAATAAACATTTTGTTGACATGATTTTTCAGGGGCAGTTCCAGAACTTCTCAAAACAGAACAGTCTCAGAATAGGTAAGTGAGTAGCACATAACATTGATTTGCATTGAAAATGTAGTGGTTTTTTTCCCCCTACTGGATCCGTCCCTGTTTTTTACGCATTCATGTTATTCTGTATAGTCATGATGTGCCTATATATGGATGTGATGTCATCGTGACCATATTTAGGCATGTCACATGTTTGTCAAGTAAAAGTTGATAGTCTGGCCAGGGCTTTAAAAACAACTCTTGAAATGATTCATGTTATTCTAGAAATATAAATATAAACATATGATGGAATGAAATGTGTATACACAAAGGAGTTGTTCAGAGAATCACTGAAACATCAGATCTTCAACTAATTCCATACATTTTAACTGAAAAAATCCAGCAAATAAAAGAATACCTTGGCCTATCAGAATATTATTTTATCTGTAATTATTATATTAATATGTATTCATATCTAATCATTGTGCCTTCATTTCTAAGTGTTAAGAAATTCTATAATGAGTAATATGATAATAAGGGAAACAAATTTCTTTTAATATTCAAAACTTGAGGACCAGGGGCCAATGCATATCTGAACAGGTGATTTGTGGATGCTTCGGAGTTGCTGAGCTGTGGTATGGGCCCCTAGAACCTCCTATCACCTGCCCCGAATTCTCAGATAGCCTAGACAGCAGGAAGTGTCACTTAATTCACGCCTGAATCATATCCGCTGCAGCGCCAACGCCAACCCTACACGGTGCCAAACAGACAACGAACTTTAGCTCTTCAACCAATGAACATTATCTTGTCTTATTGTTTACGCACAAGAGTTTCACTCCCGAGTACAAAGGTCATGTTCGAGAGATATGTTGTTAATCGATGATTTCTGAGCGTAGGCTTCATACATGTTTTTTTGAATGTGACTCATTCGGTTTGTGCAGATAAAATGCAAAACAATTACAGATCTATAGACATGGGAATTCTATTTTCTTGTATATTTTGTTTACATTCTCAGTGATATTTAGTTTTAATGTCTGAAAACATTGGTAGATATCAATTTAGCAGGATCAGGATGGTTATTATAATAATGATATCAAAAAGAAGTATTTCGGAACAAGCCCAACAAACAAATTTATTGTTATACCTCTATGGTTAAATATTACATGATACTTTCCTTTTTTATACCGGTAAACATGATAATTAAAAATGTACAACAATCCACATGTATCAATTGCAGTTTTCTTCTAAATTTGTTTTTTTAATAAAGCATTGGCCTCTATCTACTGTAATGTTTTGTTGAATTTGAAGCAAAACAGATTTTGGAAATAAACCAGGCCGCAGCATGTGGTTGTTGCATAAGTACTGACGTGTGACTACTGATGCGTAACCACTGACGCGTAATCACCGATGCGTATCCTTAACTTCTCATAGACATACTGTACATTCCAAACGTCATCGTGAGGAAGTGATCTAAACCGCATAGTGACACAAGGTCATGACAAATATGTATAAGTATGTACGTAATTGAGTAAGTTTCAGGGGGATATTGTTTCTTTTACAGATGAGAAAATATCGCAAGTCAGAACTTTGAATAAAAAGTTTCAGGAATATCTGTACCACAAAGGAATTTCCATTTTTCAATCAGAGCAGAATTTAAGAACCACATAAGCCTACAAATGGGTAAACATTCATCAAAAATGATATGTTACAGACTATCTGGCGACATACCTAAATATGGTCATGATAACAGGGTAACATGTCTGTCTCTTATACACATCTAGATGTGTATAAGAGACAGGCATGTGGTTGTTGCATAAGTACTGACGTGTGACTACTGATGCGTAACCACTGACGCGTAATCACCGATGCGTATCCTTAACTTCTCATAGACATACTGTACATTCCAAACGTCATCGTGAGGAAGTGATCTAAACCGCATAGTGACACAAGGTCATGACAAATATGTATAAGTATGTACGTAATTGAGTAAGTTTCAGGGGGATATTGTTTCTTTTACAGATGAGAAAATATCGCAAGTCAGAACTTTGAATAAAAAGTTTCAGGAATATCTGTACCACAAAGGAATCTCCATTCTTCAATCAGAGCAGAAGTTAAGAACCACATAAGACTACAAAAAAATGTGACATGCCTAAATATGGTCATGATGACATCACATCACAATCATATATAGGCACATCATGACTATATATGGGCATAAAATGGTGGACAGAGCTCTATGTCCATGGAACTGTCAGAATTTCATCAATATTTTCAACAGACAGAAAAATACCTTTGTCTAGGTTGTTTCCTATCAACAAAATATCTCCCAATTAGTTTGCTTAATTACGACAACCCCTATCTATCCCCTCATCCATAATGGTTTTTAATGCTGCGATATTAGCTGGGAGGTGTATCGTTTAATGAAGTTGTAGGACTAGAGATTGAGTAGCATAACTATCACAAAACTCAACTGCCATCAATTACCCAAAGTGGGTAACCAAGAAGCTTGTTTACCTCACGATCACTTCCTTCTATATGTGTCAATCCCAATTCATATCAATTAACCTTCCTTGGTTTTGAGAACTTAATTGAAATCAAATTAAGCCACGCACTTCAAACTTATTTTTCACATTAATTTTTCATAAACAGTCTCCTTTTTTCCACTTCCGATATTAGAGAAAATGATTATGCCACAACATCAGTATAAGGAGCCTGTTCTATGTAATGAACCTTATCGAAGTGAAAGACTTTCTTTCAAATTGAACAATTTAATACGCCTACTGGATCATCATATAGAATACCGTAATATTATCGTTCAGTGGGAGTCCAGAGGAAAGGGGGTGTCGGGGCTATACTATCAAAAATCTTGTTGCCTACAAGTTAAATATTGATTCTTCCCTATGTCTGGGTTACTTTCAAAATCCTAGATACTGTACCATGTTAATCTTTACGTTTTTCATAGAAACCTGATTAAATCAAATTATTGAACTTCACAATGACAGGTCTATAACCTTACTATTTTGAACCGTGAAGACAGGTCAGTGACTTTTAGAGATCATAACAAATAGTAGAAATTGTTAAGGTCAATTAATTAATCAACCAATCAATAATCCATCAATCAAGTAACAAACCAACTGATGAAGCTTGTGTCAGATCATCAAAATATTTTATCCATCATGCACAAACGTAAAGTATTAAAATGTGTTTCTTTTTTATGTAAATATCTTAAGACATTGGTCCTTCTGATGTATCTTTTAAACTAGTAAAAAATTCTTAGTAAGATATTTATATATTTCTCTTTAAATCAAGGTTAAATTCAAAGTGTTATAAGTAATTTTCAAATGTTTTTAAACATTGCCAAAAGTATTTGGTATGATTCAAATGCTTATAATATCAATTGGTTATTGCTGTAACTGGAAATAATATTATTAATTTTTTTAAACATTATTATAATTTGTCTTTATTTTATTTATTACACTTTTGAATGTAATAATGCTCTGAGAGATAACAGGGCGCTGTATTAAAAACCTATATATTATTATTTATTATTATTGTTCAAATGTCTTTTTAAAAATGTTAATATTCATCTGTAAAAACAAGCTCCAATTTGTGTACTGATATTTATAATTGTGTATGAAAAGTACAGTTGTGTATTGACATGAGCGATTGTGCCCGTTACAAGTTTCTGTGAGGACAGTTCTGGACGAGAATCTGATATAAATGATTGTTTTTAATCTTTTAAATTATTATACATTATAATACTGATATTGATGACTCTGTATGAAATGTCAATTTGTGTTTTGATATGAGCGATTGATTGTGCCTGTTACAAGTTTCTTTGAGGAAAAATAATTTCTGAATCTGAATCTAAATCTGAATGTCAGAAAATAATGCTAACACAAGGTTGCTTCAACAAAACTGTCAATTTATCATAACATTGTTAGCTGGAAATATATAAATATATTTCTTTGTAGGTTAATCAAAAACATTTTTTCCATTTCACTTGAAACATTTGGAAAATACAAAAGTGTAGTGTTTTGATATGCTAGCCTTGATTTTATGATAGGCCCCTACACATCCAATTTCCAAATTTAGTAATATTATATTCTATTTTCTCACCAAATGACTTAGAAACTTATAAAATTATTTCAAGATAAATTCTGGATAATCACGTTTTCGAAAGTTTCCCACAATACTGAGTTATAAATCCTGTACGTTAAATGTTTTCAGATACGATTTCCTGAAACTGGCATCAAGCTGAAGACAGTTCTGGCAAATTGTCAAGAAAATCTAAGTGAGTGAAGTGAATTAAGTAAGTGTTTGTAGCTTTTGCAGATTTGCTCTGGGAATCAGGATTTTGAATATCATAACCAGGACTAATACAGAAATACATTATTATAATTGTACCAACTTATTTTTTATCTAATCTATTTTATCATCTTCTCTAATATGAGAATTTGAATAGAGTTAATTTGTCAAATTCATGTTATAATGTATTTGTTTTAAATGATTTAGTATATGAAACCGTTGGACTTTATAATATAATAATTTATTTAAATGTACACTTTTGTATCAGTGGCACACGTCAATTTGGCGGTGCATTCAGAAACTACCATACTTATAAAGATGGAAGAATAATTATTAATATTTTAACAATAAACTACTTACTCCATCATAAAAAAACAACAGATATGCAATATCTCCGCAAAAAAGATATACAGAAATAAATTTTAAAATAGTTTTATTTTATTAATCATGTTGATTGGTAAAAGGTTAGGATAGTCCTAAGCCCTCTTCAGAAATTGTATGCATAAATATTATGACACCAGATCTGGACTAATAATATAGGCACATCGTGACTATACATGGACATCAACAGTTTTGTTGTGAAAGAAAATTTATAGTTTAGACAGAGATTTAGTGTTACTAAAAGTAAATTTAATTCCTTACCTGTCGTCTTTTGATTCTGTGCAAAGCAAAAATTATAATCAGTACGATGACGATTGCACCAAATATTGTCAGTTTCATCATACTATCACTCATTCGACCTTTGGCTTCTGAAATAGGGCTATGCTTTTCCGGATCTGTATTTAGGGGGGAAAAAAAGAGAGAGAGAAAGAAACATTTTCAGTGATATATTATTATGTAGTAGTGAAACTTGATACATTGGAACAAAAGAGAAAGTTACTTATTTGAATGGATTCAAAGTTTGTATTAAGATTTGGTGAGGTCAAAAGTTTAGAAGGGTAAGAGAAATCTGGTTATCAACAAACAGCTGTTTCTTAACACAAATACGAATTTGTTTCTTTATGTTGTTTTTATCGATGATTGTTTCCTCACTTCCCACTGGAAAGACAACCCACTACCGTGAGCCACAACTCCTTGCCACGTGATCCATTTGTAACTTTCCACAAAACAACCCTACCCTCAAAACCTTTGGGCCTTGCTTTCTCATAAAAACATAATTAAATGGGTATAATTTTTTTTTAATACATTCGTGACACATTTTGTTTCTTGGGCCATTAAATTTGCTTACAAACAATATGACATTGCTTTGTGAAATTTTAAGCTTGTTTTTCTTCGTAATCAGGTCAGGGGTGTATGTTTACTAAACTTTCTTAATCCAAAGGTCAGATGATCAGAAAGTTTACCCTCAAATAAGTATGACTAAGGGCGTGACTCAGGGTGTTGTAAAAATGTTATTACCTGTACATGAAATCTGGTATTAAATAAGCATTCCCATGATGCCAAGTGTGTAATACATGTTTCCCCTGGCAACAATGTTTATGTTCACAATTCTTTATTTTTTTTATTTACATGCAAGTCAACATATTGAAAGCATTATCCATTGTAACATATGAATATTAAAGAATATTGTTATCATTATTATTACTATTGTTATTTTTATTATTTACAAATTTATAAAAAAAAAATTTTCAACAATTTTTAATAAGCAGTAAATATA